CTGGCAGCTGTCGAAGTGCCCGAGGCTGTCCCGGGTCAGGGTGGCGGTGCAGCTGTCTGCCTGACGGGGCGGCCGCGGGCGGGCTGGAGGAGGAGAGCCGCAGGGGGCGGCAGCAGGCGGGGCCCGCCGCGGGCTGGAGGAGGGCCGGAGGAGAGGAGGAGAGCCGAGGGGAGGAGGAGGAGGGCTGGAGGAGAGGGAGAGCTGCAGAGGAGGGGCCGGGGCGGGCAGGCCGGGGGAGGCAGGGAGAGGGGGAGTCGGAGCGGGCAGCGGCGGGGGGGCAGCAGGCGGGCCAGAGGACGGGCGAGGCTCTCGGACTGGAGGCCGCGGGCCGGAGCCGGGCGGCCCCCCGCAGCGGGGCCCCCTCCCGGGGAGGCCTCCCGGGCAGGAGCCGAGCATCGGGGGCGCGCAAGCACGGAGTAGCGATCCACGGATGCGGCGCGGTCGCCAAATCCATGGCTCGGGGGAGGTGCCCTCCCCAAGATGCGGCCGGTGCCGCCTCGCTCGGCGGTGGAAATCCGCGGTGTCCCACGGAAACGGGACCCGCCGCCAATCCAGAGCAGATGGGGTCGGAGGATCGCGCCGCGATGCATCGGGGACGTCTGCGATGCATCAACGCCATCGGCGCGGAGAAAATCGGGCTCCTCATCGAGCCGCATCGGCGATGCGTCGTCGCTGCGGCGCGATCCTCCGACCCCATATACGGCTGGACCCAGGACAGAAGAACATCCTCCAAGAACGTGGGACCCTGCGTCGTCCAAAACACACAGAACATCCACGGGTGCCCTCCCCCGGGACGCACAAGAGCACCCACCAGGCACGAAGAGCATCCGGGCACCCTCACCGAACCGACCTCGATCAGGTTTTCCTTAACGGGCGAAGAAAGGTATAAAATAAACTTTTTCGCTGTCGGGGGCGCCTGTCCCAGTGCGGCTGGAAAGTTTACCCTTACGGTGGCACCGTAGGGGTATAAACTTTCCAGCCGCCAAGGAGCAGGCGTCCGCGATGGCGGAAAAGTTTATCTTATACCGTTCTTAGCCCGCTGATTTCCTTTCTTGGAACAGGCAGTACAGTAGTGAACCACTTCATGACTTCGCACAGCGAAACAGCGGCACGGGCAACTGGCCAATCAAATCCCGAAATGCTCCAGCAGAGCGTGGTTCTTGATTCCCTTGCCGGAAGGGCCTCGGGCACCCGACGTGGAGGAGGGAGGAGAGGAGAGGGAGGGGGAAGGAGGGAGGGGGAGAGAGAGAGGGAGGGGAGGGAGGGAGGAGAGGGAGGAGGGAGGAGAGGGAGGGGGAAGGAGGGAGGAGAAAGCGAAGGAAATCTAACACCTCGGTCTTGCACCTCGGCCCGACACCGCTCCCACCCCGCCTTCGACACCGACACCTTCCCGCCCCGCGGGTCCTCCCTAGGGGAACAACAAGTGACACAAACGTAAAAACTCGGAGGTCCGCGCGGATTTTTCGGATCGGAGCTGGACCCCCCTCCCTGGCGCGCGGAGCGCGCCAGAGGCGCCGCCGGGGGGCCCCAGCGCCGATCCGAGAAATCCGCGCGGACCTCCGAGTTTTTATGTTTATGCCACTTTTGGTTCCCCTACCATCGGCACAGAGGCCGCGCCCTGCTGCAGGAAACGGCGGATAAGGTAGATCTGGTAGACAGCTCGAATCAGAATAGCAGCGGCAGGCCATCAGTCCTTCGACTGCGCCTGGAAAAATCAACGCTGCTGCCACTCAGAAAGCACTGGGAACAGAGCAGAAAATCGACCCTCATAACGTCTGCGGCGAGCGAGGGGGGGAAATGAGAAGGAGAAGGCCTTCTCAGAAGGCGGCAGGACTTCTCAGAAGCCTGCGCGCCTTCTGGAAAAAAGTGCTCTGCGTCCTGGGGGAAGGCTGAGAGAACTCCCCAGAAGGCCGGGGGACTTCCGAGCCTTCTGAGAGGGCCTTCTCCTTCTCACTTCCGCCCCTCGCTCGCCGACGATCCGAGTACCCCGACCGGCGAAGCCGCTTCGCAGACGCATCCCAGAGGGGGGAGCCGGGGCGTCGAGCAGGGCAGGGCTGCTCAGCAAAAACGCCCCCGGCCGCCGCCGCCAAAAACGCCGAGGATCGGGGTCGGGGTGGCTTCTCCTCTCTGGGCCGGCAGCAGGGCGCGGCCTCTGTGCCGATGGCAGGGGAACAGAAAGTGGCATAAACATAAAAACTCGGAGGTCCGCGCGGACTTCTCGGATCGGCGCTGGACCCCCCTCCCTGGCGCGCGGAGCGCGCCGGAGGCGCCGCCGGGGGGCCCCAGCGCCGATCCGAGAAATCCGCGCGGACCTCCGAGTTTTTATGTTTATGCCACTTTTTGTTCCCCTACCATCGGCACAGGCGCCGCCGGGGGGCCGCGGCGCCGATCCGAGAAATCCGCGCGAACCTCTCTGGGCCGGCAGAGCTCGAGGAGACACCACTGTGGCGGGCAGGGGCCCTGCGCGCGGCGACGCGGCGGGGCAGAGCACAAGGTGCGGCGGCCGAGACCTGGGCCGCTGCCCGCGCCCGCGGGCTCAGAGGGGGGCAGCACACCGAGGGAGCCACGCGTAAAAATAGGCACAAATCCCAGCATGTCCTGCCCAATCCATATATATATATATACACACACATATATGTATGTATATACATATAACACCCGGAGAAGAAAACCAGCAGTGAGCGGAAACTTTTGGCGCTCCGCACGTAGCTTGTGGAGGAGATGAAGAGCATACCACCCTGCTGGCCTTCCAACAGGGCAACAAAGGGGACCACTTGACACGCGACTGTTTAGTGTGTGTCCGTGTCGGTAGACGGCTGTTGTGGAACACCCTCCCGCTGGCCTGTCGCAAGAAGGCACTTCCCTTGGTGCCGCATAGGGCAACAGTATCAACGGCATGTGCGGCGTGCGGGTCACCTTCCCATAGATCCCCTGCGATGGATGCCTCGATGTGCACTTCGGTTTTATGCGAATGAGGGTAAAGGGGAGGATGACGATAAGGAGGCAACGGAGGAGGAGACAGGAAGGAGGAAGAGGGGGAGACAAGGATGTAGGGGCACAGGGAACTGGACAGAGACAAGGACAGGGACAGGGACAGGGGAGGGAGCCGAGGTAAGAGGACGTGAAGACGAGAGATTGACAGCGAGGCAGACGAGGTGCAGCAGCAGATTGCACGTGCTCCTCCACTTTCTTCGTCCTTCCTGCTAATGAAGTACTCGGCATGCACATACGCCTCGCTTTCGAGCTGGACTGCTGATGTGTTGCCCTGTTCATCATTGCATCGTTAATAATTCAAATACTTGAGCATTGCGCGTATGTCATGACATGAGCCTGGCACCTACCAGATTACCACAGGCATGCCTAGGTTGCGCTATTTCGACCTTCTCTGACTTGCCCCACTCCCCAAACAATGCTTCCGCTTTAAAACAGGGCTAGGATCGGGATAAATCGCTCCAGAGCGTTCCGGAGCGCTCTCAGAGCGTTCCGGAGCGCTCTCAGAGCGTTCCAGAACGCTCTGGAGCGGCCGCGGCGCCCAATACATCCTCCGAACCCGCCGATTCTCAGAGATTTCGAGTTATCCCGATCCGATTTTGTCCCTATCTTCGCGTCGTTTTACGCTTAGGCATCATTACTTATGTCCTGCGGTTATTGGACCCCGGTGTCGGTCCGGCCAGCTCGTCGCCGCCCGTCGCCGTCCGTCGCCGCCCGTCGCCGCCGTCGCCAGTGGACCCCAGTGGCGGCCCGGCCAGGTCGTCGGCGACCGTCACCGCGCTGCTCGGCATGGCGCTGCCTTGCATTGCTTCGTACTGCGTGGCATTGCTTCCAGTGGTGGTTCGGCCGGCTCGTCGCCGCCCGACGCCGTGCTGCTTTGCACTGCACTGCATTCATTTGCACTCCTCTGCGTTGCATTGCTCTTCATTGTGTTGCATTACTTCGCACTGCTTCGCATTGCGTTGCACTGCGCTGCATTCCGCGGCACTGTGTTGCATTGCTTTGCACGGCGCTGCATTGCGTTGCATTGCTTTGTGCTACTTGTCATTGCTTCACATTGCTGTGCACTGTTGTGCCCTGCGTTGCAGTGATTTGCATTTCTTTGCATTGAGCTGTATTGATGTGCATTGCTTTGCATTGCCTTGAACTGCTCTGCACTGCTTTGGATTGAGGTGACTTGCTGTGCCTTGCTGTGCCTTCCTGTGCCTCGCTGCGCACTGCTGTCATTGCTGCACATTGTTTTGCATCGTGTTGCACTGCTCTGCATTGTTTGCTTTGCACTGTTTTGCACAACATAGATTGCACCACATGGATCGCACCGCACATATTGCAAACGATCACTGTCTGGGGCACACGCTGGCTAAAGTCTTGTTCGGGGCGGCGGTGGCAGGGCGAGGACAACAGCTCCCGAGGCAGCTGCACCGCCAGTGTTGCCTCCTCGCGCAGAGGTCAGACCCACCAGCCCTCCTCCTCCTCCTCCTCCTCCTCCTCCTCCTCCTCCTCATCATCATCATCATCATCATCATCATCATCATCATCATCATCATCATCATCATCATCATCATCATCATCATCACCATCATCATCACCATCATCATCACCATCCTCATCCTTATCCTCATCCTCCTCCTCCTCTTCCTCCCCCCTCTCCTCCCCCATCTCCTCCTCCTCCTCCTTGCCTCCTTCGGTTCGCTCCTCGGAAAGGCAAGGGAAAAGGTAGAGTCGCCTTTGGATTCCGCATCTAACCCCTCATCCCTTGTGGGCATTTTCTCACAGCAGCACGCTGCAGTATCAATGGCTGCCAAAGCAAAGGTCCTAGAAAACGGAGAAGTTGATCTTCATCCGTCCTCCTCACCCTCCACCCCTCCTCCCAACACGAGCAGCAAAGAAAAAGAAACGGCTGCCACACGCCCTGCCCCCAAGCACCTGCGGCTCGTAGCTGCACGCACTGCCGAATGCCTGCAAGGGCCCAGGAGGAGAAAGAGAGGAGAGGAGAAGGAAGAGGAGGAGCAGGTTCAAGCAAACAAAACGGCTCAAAAAAAATCTTGGGGAAGGACCAAACCATATAAAGTTGCGAGTACCGCCGTTGTGAAAATCGGTTTCGGGGAGCTCCCTACGGGGCAACGAAACGCGTGAAGAGGCGCGGAAATGGGGCGGGGCCGCCATGCGGGCGCTGCCGTTGGGGCCGCCCGCAGGAAGCGCGGAGGTTAGCCGAAACGGGTCACATGCTGACGTAACCCGTTACGGATGACACGGCGACGACGAAGACGACGACATGTCCTCCCTACGCCTTTTCTCCCTCGCGCCCTTCCGTCTTGTTCCGTTTCCTGTTTCTTCCCTCGCCTCTTCCGTTCCACTTCCTCCCCCGCCCCCTCCCTCGCCCATCCTCGTACTCAGGTCCTCCCAGTCCGATCCGTCGCCCTTCCTCCTATTCCGTTACTCCTACTGCGATCCTGCTAATCGTCCGACCATATGCAGCTGCGAGTACCGCAAGACATGTGGAAAACCGAGAGGGGTTGGCAAAAGGACCATAAAAACGCACATGGGAAAAAAGACGCAGCGACATTGCTGATGGGGGGTCAGCCGCAACGAGTTACGCGTTGATGCAACTCGTCACGCCTCGTCTGAGCGTCAGTCGGCAACGGGGCCGGGCCGCCGCGCGGGCGCTGCCACAGGGCCTCCGTGGGAGCTCCCGATGCGGCCACAAAATGCGGAAACGGGCCCGGTGCTGGGACCACGAAACGGATGAGGACCAAGCGACGACCACGATGATGATGCCGATGACGCTGATGACAATGATGACGATGACGACGATGATGACGCTGCTGATGATGATCACGGGCGGCTGACCTCGGGCGAGGCGTTGGGCTCGTCGCGCGGGAGTCTGGCAGCCCATGGAGGCAGAGCTGCAGGGGAAACCCGCGACGCGCGCCAGTCGCCCTGAGAGGGCCCCAGCGACGCGCTCGAGTCGTCCGCGGCGCGAGGCCAACCAGTTGGACAATCGAGAGAAGGCGAGGCCACGGCGGGCCGCTCCTCAGGTCAGGCCTCGCGGGCACACTCGGCGAAGCCCAGCTTCTTGGCGAGGGCCGCCGCCCCCCTCTCCTGCACCGCTTCGTGCGCGTCGCAAACTGCCCCAGCCGCCTCCACGAGCCCTCTGGCAGCTCTGCCTGGAAGAATTCAATGCGCGGCGCCCGCGCGAACAGGATGTCCTCGCGGCGCGCGGCGCGCGAAGAACGCGCGCGGAGCTCCAGCCAGCAGTCACCATCGCCCTGCTCGCCACCCCCGACCCCGCGGCGGCCGCAGCCCAGGATCACGCCAGGGCGAGGTCGGCCGTGGAAGCAGCTCGCTGGGGCCCGCGGTGAGAATCCACAGATCCGAGAAGGTCTGACTGCGGACCCCTCACGCCCAGGCGGTCCGGCCGCACGCTGCCAGGGAGCGTCGTTCCCTCGCCCGGTCGCCGCGATCACCCTCTCGCACGGCGCGCCCCCGGCACGCCACCGCAGCCGCGACCCTGCCGCGCGAGAACGGGAAACTGGCCTGGATGACCATGGAGACGCGGAAGGTGAACGGCCCCGATAGGCGTGGCTCATGAACACAAGCAGGCTTGCGAGGTCTCCTGCGAGGCCGTCGTCGCGGCACTCCGGGTCGCCCGCGAAGGGCGCGCCCGCGCACTTCTCCATGCGCACCCAGAACCCCAGCGGCTAGCGTTTCAGATAGATCCCCCCCCCGTCTCTCTCGGATTTCTCGACGTCGTTTCGACCCCGAAGGCCCACGACGACGCGCACGAACTGCCCCTCGGCATCCTTGACGATGCCGTTCTTGAGGCCGAGCCTCCAGGAGCTGGGTGCACGTGATCAAACGCACCGGGGGCAGCCCGCGCACGCCGCCAGCGTTCTTCCAAATGGAACGGGTCATTATCTTGGCAGCGCCCTGCCTGCGCATCGTCGGGGCAGACATGTCGGCGGCCTGGGCGAAATAGAGGGGCTTCTTCAGAACGCCTGCTCCCCGCCAGGCACCCCCGTTCATCTACCGCGCCACGGTGTCCCAGCAGGACCCAATCATGCGGCCGCGCTGGAACTTTTCCCCGAAGTCTACGACCATCACGTTTCAGCTGCATGGCAGCGCACATGGCCCAGATGGCCCGACGGACCCGCTTCCCCAGCTGCGCGAGAACGCCATGAGATCCGGGAGCTTCGAGCCCTTGAAGCGGTCGGACGCCTAGGGCTCGAAGCACAGCGGTGCGTTGCAGAAGGGCCCCATCGCGGCCCGACATTCTGGAGCGAGGTAGCTGCCCGCCGCCGGCAAGTCCTCGAAGCTGGAGGTGATGGACACTTTGCCCCCCGTCCGCTTCAGCTGCGGGAAGTCTCCCAGGTGGGACACGATGGGCATCTGGCCGAAGGCGCCGCCGACCTGGTCGCACCCCCGCTCCTCCGCGGCCCGCTCGACGCTGCGTCCGGGGTAGGGGCGGAACGCCAGCACGTTGCACGGGTCGGGCGAGATCATGCTCGCCTCCTCCAGGATCAAGCACTTGACCGGCTCCCACGTGTCTTGCAGCGCTTACAGTTTGCCCCCGCCAGGTACGTCTGCGCCCCTGAATGATGCACTCCTATGACTCCCGACCGGCGAACGTCTTCCGCACCGCGCGTTCGGCCACGCCGCCGCCCTCGACCTTCTGCTCCTCGCCCCACGCCACGTTGCAGGCGTTCGCGAACGCCGCGGCGAACTGGCCATGGGCAGGCTTCAGGAGGCGGCGCCCCTGCCCCCCAATCTTCGGGTTGACCGCGCCGTTCTCGAACTTTTTCGCCTAGCATTTCACGGAGTCGCCCGGCCGCTGCAACTCCCCCGACCTGCCCCGACATCGACCTGCGCGGGAGCGTCGCCCACGGGCACGCACGCGCTCTTCGTGCCCCCCAGGCGAACGACTTCCGCAGGTCTCCACATGACGCTCCAGCTCGCCCGCGTCGAGGTCGCGCAGGGCCCTGAAAGCAGCGAGGACGTCGCCCTTCAAGGCGCGGGCAGCGCGCCGCATCGCGTCGGCGCCATTCGGCCCAGACAACGCGCCGTCCTCCATCGTCGTGGCGGCGGTCGTGAACTCCTGCACAAGGGCCCGCGCGCGCTCGGCGGCGTCGAGGCGCAAGATCTGCCCGACGCCCCAGGTTCGAAGCGGCGCTCCAAGACCGCGTTGGCACCCAGCTTCGAGACGCCGTCCTGAGCACGGATGCCCTGGGCCTCCAACGGCGCGGCGCCCGCCCCCGAGCCCTCGGCGCCCTCGCGGAACACGGGGCCTCGGCGACCTGCGGCTTCGAAGCCTTCGCCTCGGAAACGCCGTCGACGCCGTGGTCTCCAAGGCCAGGTACTCCTGCACCGTCAGCATGCTGCCCAGCCAATTACCCAGCTCCGCGCACTGGACGCACTGGCACGGAGGCTGCACGCCCTGGCCACGGTCGCTGGGTTTCTCGGGCACCGCGGACTCGACCTCCACCGTGCTCCACACGCTGGGAGTCGCCCACGACCCGACGTCATTCCTGAGGGACTTCGCACGGACCGCCTTCGCCAGTTGCTCCTAGGCGGTGGCGAACGAGCCCCAGCCGCGCTGGAACGGGCCCGAGACGCCCTCCGCCGCTGGCTGCGCCGGCCACTCCACCTCGCCCTCGGGCGCCACGCACAGGTGCTCGCACGCGAGGAGGAAGCGGAGCTCCCTCGCGTCGCTGGGCCCGTCGGCGTCCGGCAGGCGCACTGGTCGGAGCAGCGCCGACTTCATGAGGCAATGCGTCTCCACGCTCGACTCCGCGCTCACCGCAAACTGGAAGCCATCGGCGTCGGGATGCGCGGCTCGACGGCCAGCCTCTGAGCCCAGTTGCGCTTCGCCAAGCAGAACGAGTCGAAAGCAATGTCCACGCGCAGGGCGCGACCCCCGCTGCCCTCCGGCCCAGCTCCCCGGCTGGAAGGGCGTAAGACGGCAGTTCCACGCGGTGCACCCAGATGCTGTAGACGTACAAGCTCATGTCTTGGACAGTAGGGTGGTCTCCGTGGTCCATCCAGTCGTCGCGTTGGCTCAGCACGGAACCTCTGTACTTGCCCTGCGCGAGGCCCTCCACAGTCGGCCCGTGGGCATCGGGTTCCTTTTCGGCCTCGTCGTCCCGCATCTTGTTTAATCAACGCCTTCGTCACGTCGCGCAACGAGCCACCGCTGGCGTCCGCGATCTGGAACGCCTGGTGCGCGTCCTCGATCGCGTCGAACTCCTCGCCGTCGAGGCTGACATACACCGTCCCGCCCTCGCGCTGCACCTCGCCCCACCCCAGCATCGCGACCTGCCGGGACCGCGTACGTGATCGAGGCGGCGGGTGGGTTTTCTGCGGCGTCGGCCTGGCCGTCGTCCTGGCCGTATCGCCTGCGCCAGGACTATGCGGCGAGGCAGATTGGTTTCCGCACGAACACCTTTCAGCAACGGTGCGTCATGAAGGAGAGGTACCCGAAGAATGGGGAGACCATCTCGCAGCCGCTCTTACAAGACGCCCTGCAAAATCAGGACTCACAGCGGGACAGCACTTGCAGCGTGCGCTTGAAATCCTCCCGGCGCTTGCCTGCAGTGGTCGACTGGGGGCCGTCGCCAGCGCTGTCCGCGGCCTGCGCCTCCCGGTCGTTCCAGTGGCTCTTGAGGCGGCGCACGCCGTAGACCTGCACGGGGGGGTTCGAAGTCATTGGAGCTTGCATCAGCTAGAAGGTATAAATCAATTATTTCACTGAGGTTTTGGCCTCCAGTAGGGGACTAATCAATTTCCTCCAAGACGATGGCCCCAAGATGGACCCAAAGGCTCCCAAGAGTGAGCCAAAGGGCGCCCAGGAGAACCCAAGAGGCCCCCAAGAGGTCCCCAAGACGATCCCAAGAGACGCCCAAAAGGCCCCAAGAGGTCTTTCTCACGAGGAGCCCTAGACGCTCTTTGAGGCCCCCGAGACCGCCAGGAGGCCCCTAAAACGCCCCAATAGGACCCCAAGAAGCTTTCAAGA